CATTTGAAATGGTAAACCTGGTACTTGACAATCGTGTTGTACATCAAACTTTAAAAAAAAAAAGACAACAGCAGCTCACTGAATGTTTGTACTATAAAAGAGGGTCTTCAATACTGCATTCTTTAATATTTTATGTCTTTTTTCTCTATTCTTTATTAATTTTGTCAATCGTTTTCTATTTTTCTATTTAGTACCTTAATTTTTCCCATTCTCTGTCGTCTTGGCCAATAATTCTCTATTCTGTAAACCCCATCCAACCCCTCATGAAGGGGTAAATAAAAACTTTTAATTATATCTTTTATGTAATATTCAGTTTAGGGGAAACATTTAAAAATATGGCGAACGGCAAATTTATTGCGTACTAATCTTTGTCTCCATAATTTTGTATGCATGTTCATTATAAGCATATATTTTCTACAATTGACACGAATTTTTAGCTATTAAAAACAAATGATATTGTACTTGGTACAGGAAAATATTAATGAAAACGCTATGTTAACGGAACACATGTTACAAAAGCGTTTCACCTTGTTTTGATTATCAAAATCGTTTCGCAATTTGTTCATTAGCTTTGCTTTTTACATGTTGAATATTAATAGAAAAACGAAGGATATGGGGTATCCATCCATGACACAAAATCAGTACATGCACAGCAAAAAACAAACAAAAAGCAAAGGAACAGCGCCTATATTGCTGTTCTTGATCTCAAAATCACAGTGAGGACTTCAATAAGGAACAAAACAAATCTGTTTGATCGAGATATTCGGAATTCTTTCCATCAATGAAATATATTGATGTTACTATATAGGCTTGGAAGCGCAAAATCAGTGTACAGTAGCACGCTTTCTATTAAAATCCCGTGTACCAACTAAAGGATATTATATCCCTGTGAGTCAATTTCTAATCATCGAATTTGGCAACACGTTCGTTTCAGCTATGATTATTTTGTTTCTTTCTACATTCGAACGATTTTGCTATATCTTGAATTTGTTTTTATAATATTTGGTCATGCATTGAAGAAAATATAGATGTGTCACGAATGTCCCCGCCAACAGCCTGCTGCCAATGTGTAAAACGTATACATTACTGGCAATTAGTTGAAGGAGCAGGCATTATTCAACAACAACAAATAGTTATTGTCAACAAACATTTTAGTCTAAGCTAGAGCCGTAAATCAGTAAAAACTAGCATTCTCAACTAAACGCACACTCGACCAGTAACTCACCATTATACTATTATAAACCAATATAAATAAAAAGGGGAAAAGAACTAGATCAAAAATAAGTTATAACTTGTGAAGTCTTGATATCTGTTAAATTACCGAATGACAAAACGTCGAAAAGTCGAAAGGTGCAGACATGGGTTATACTAAATGCTATGCCACTGGTGGCAAGGCATAGGCTATAATAAATGCTATGCGTGGCAAGACATGGTTAAACTAAATGCTATTCCATTTATATGGCAGAGCATAAAATCCAGTATATGAATGTTGAAATAATATGTCGTGCCGAAAATAAAGAATTATTTCTTTAAGTCATTCAGCTTTGAAATTTTAATCTAGTTTTGAAACAACTACATTAACCTTAAAATGCAAATTAAGAAATTCTAAAGTGCGAAGCTAACCGTTTGGAATTATAAAGGGATAATCATAAATGACATGTTAATCTCTCTAAACCGGTACTTATCATGTCTTGTTTATGTTTAAATGGTGAATCTATTGATATTATTTAATTACCAACAAATATATTTACGAATTTACATTTATATAAAACAAACATTGTCAAATTTAAACTAATGTTAAACGTATTTTGCCTTATTTTACGTTAACTTAGAATTTTAAACTGGACCATATATAATTACATGTATGATTATTGATACGCCATCTTTATCGGGTTCGAACAAGTCTTAGATATCTATTTGACAAATACTTCAAACACGTGTCCAGTGACTACTAACATAATTGCATTCCGATCCATTTTATGTTTCAGAATGTGAGAGAAGCCAATTTGTAGGAATTATTATGGTCGTTATTAGATGTCAGATTTTCGAATGAGTTATGTTTGCAACAATAAAGGCGCGAAATGTCCAACGTGTTTTTTGACATTTATGTTTTTATTAATCGATGATACCCTTGACCACTGTCAATCATAAAAATACATTTGGTTTCATCAAAGGAAAGGAATTACTCATAATGATGTGGTGGGCATGCCGTTACTCTTTTCATGTATCTCAATTATAGAAATAATTTATGAATTTTATATTTTTAATGACCAATGTAACGACAAAGGCTTTAAACACTTTTATTGCAGTATTTTGTAAACCACATATATTTCCAAAAACTCAAAATTTCAATTGTAGATTTTTTAATACATGCATGAAAATTATCCTGAAAAATGTATTTTTAAAACCTATAATAACAAGTATGTTCCTACGTATATCCGTATTCTTTTTCACATATGAATTCAAAAATATATTTGGATAAACCAATAACTTAAGCTTGAACCGCTTCAATGTTCGTAACAGTTATACATTGACATGAAACAGAAACACGATGGTCTTAAATACGTTCATGGTATAACAAAAAAGTGAGAGATCAAAATTAAAGACATGATGTGCACGCTCCTTTTGTATATCATAGAAACTTCAGGAACCTGATGTTCAGTGGTTTTCGTTTGTTGATGTCAGGTTCATAAGTGTTTCTCGTTTTTTTAATATAGATTAGACCGTTGGTTTTCCTGTTTGAATGATTTTACACTAGTCATTGTTTGGGGCCCTTTATAGCTTGCTATTCGGTGTGAGCCAAGGCTCCGTGTTGAAGGCCGTACTTTGACTTATAATGGTTTACTTTTGCAAATTGTGACTTGGACGGAGAGTTGTCTCATTGGCACTCATACCACATCTTCTTATATCTATTATAACACTTGTTGAAATGATTGATAAGATGCATTGCTTATTTTCCATTTTACTCCAATTGTCAAAATCTACAAATTGTCAAATCTAACTAGAAATTGAAAATTAAAGAGTGTATGTCATATACCTAAAATATTGGTTCCACATTTTTCCATATTAACATTAAATTTAAATATTATTCAGCAGTACGTAATGCTGGTGAGTGTATTTTAATATAAAATTGCAAATTGTACATGTTTTGTCAAATTTTTCATCACTGAACGTCGCTGATAGAAATGAATTGATGTATATCCGAAAGGCAACACAAAGTTTTATTTCTAACATCTTTTTCGTTTTGATTAGCAATGTCCCTTAATAAAGTTTTGGAGTTCAATACTCCAAATTTAATTTGCCAAAATCTGTCGAAATTACGGGTTTTTGCTATCCTTATGCGTTATAATTTGATGATCTGTTAAGATATATTATAAGCCATTCTGTTGTTAGAATCTTAAAGTATACATATTAGGCTGCAATACTATGAATGTAAGTCAAGTTTGAAAATTGTTTTGAAAATGGTCCTGGTTTAAAATGAATTCCGGGGAATATGGTTCTACCTCTTTAAAAATTATAAAGGAACTACAGTTCCAACTCCCTCAGGCAGAGCGACTTCAGTCTAAGATGGTCTTGGCTATCCTTATATATGGTCCCTTTTGGTCATAAAGCATCTGATTTACATGTATATATACATCATTGGCTTTCAAATGTTACGGTTTTATATTTTCTAATGAGGGAAAAACCAGAATAGCGCTTCCGACCCACCAGATCTATAAAGAGAAATTTCCATCCGGGCTCACAAAATATATGTTCTAAAATTTATTAAATATTCAAAATGCTAATTTGCAGAAAAATAACAACATAAATTTCTTAAAGCAATACAAATATCTGCCTACAACTTGCTTTGCACAATTGCAGTGATTTGACAGGGATGTCTGCTCCGTACCCGTCTTTATAGATGATACGGAACTTGTAAGACAAACATGCAACTAGCATGTATCTGGTGTTCTGTGTTCATGCCTTGCAAGACATTAAGACATCTCAAGTCTCTTATTCGATTTGTTCTAGTTATAATAGCGAATTACATATCATAATTCTTTTGGGAAACTTCTCATTGTTGAAGTCTACGGTTGCCTTTAATTGCTTATATCCACCCCGTTTGAACTTTGATGAATAGTTGTCTCATTAGCAATCATACCACATCTCCTTATTTTTATATTGGCATATGTATATGTATTGAAACACATTATGTTTACCAACAAATTGTTAGTATGTTGTTTTATATAGATATATGTGTACATTTTTGTTATAAGACTTGTAATGGCTTAATTATACATATATAATTTATATCTGAAGAATTTAATTACCCAGTTCTTTATCAAATGCCAACAATGTATTTTCCATTAAAAGTGATACAAGTCTATCATTTTAACAAAGAATACTTATAACAAAAATAAATTATTTAATTATGTTATACATTTGTTACAAGTTTGATTGATCATTATGAATAAACAATGAAAGTCGTAAAACTTTTTGGCGTTTTATATTTATTATCATACATATAATAGGCGAACTGAAGACAGAATGGAAAAGAAAAAAAAACGAACTGAAGATAGAATGGAAAAGTCGATTATAACATGTACGTTCTATGCTTTATCATTATCATGAACTTGAAATATTTCATTTGTCAATTCGTGATGTACAGATGTGAGAATAAAACACATATCAGTAATTCTTCTTCACTTGTTTTTTGCCTGCAGGTAACGAGCATATCATAGAGACACATTAAGATCATTAATGCGTTTAATGTTACATTTTTTTCAAGCGATCATCAATCAATCATTTTGAACATCAATGAAATAATGTTTTGTGAACAATTAGATGTTAAACAAGTATTGCTGACAACCAAGATCGATATTCATAAATTAGCATTGTTTTTCAGCTAACGAATCAAAATGCTTCTTTTCTCATAAATTTACGTCAGGAGTTATTTTTGGGGCATAAAAAACATTTTCTGATATTCGTTTATATCATAAGATTATACAGTTCGTAGAGTACTATGTAAAAGGACACAAAATATAATATTACAATATTTCTACAAAAATGGCTTCCGACATAAAACAACTTCCAAAAAATGGCGACGAAACAACAGAAACAACATATGACTTCGACTCTGGTGTTACTATGAAAAGACGACCTTCCGTAAAAACCGTGGAATTTCCGGGAGAAAATAAAGATTCTTCAACCAAATTGAGAAATGGCTATCAGCTTGGAAGACCTTCACTGGTCAAGAAAACTGGACAATACCGAGTTGGATATAGAGGTATAAAAGGAAGTAAGCGAAAAGGTTATTTCCGTGACTTGTATCAAACTCTTATTGATATAAAATGGCGATGGGCTACACTTATTTTTTGCCTGACATTTTTCTTTGTGTATTTCCTGTTTGCAGTTTTCTGGTATTTACTGAGTTATTCCCATGGTGATTTCGATAACCTTGAAAATCCGTCATGGTCACCATGTGTTATTAGGATGAAAACCTTTGCCGATGCATTACTTTTCTCAATGGAAACACAAACAACAATTGGATACGGAACTTTTTATCCAGATACAAAATGTGGCGGAAGCATCCCTCTGGTATTCATTCAGATAACAATAGGCTTTTTGCTTGAGACATTACTTGTAGGGTTCATATTGGTCAAGATTGCACGTCCAAAATACAGACGGTACACTCTTATGTTCAGTGATACTATGTGTATATGTGTAGAAGATGGCGAACTTTGTTTACAAATCAGAGTAGGTGACATAAGAAAAAGCCATTTGATTGACGCTTCCGTTTATGGTATTTATGTAGGAGAAAAGATTTCCGAGGAAGGATTCGTTTATCCGTTATACCAGAAACAAATGGAATTTGAAGTAAATGGGATGGATGACAGAATGTTTCTCATGTGGCCGATGGTTATAAGTCATAAAATAAATGAAGACAGTCCTTTGTATGACATGCAGTTTGAAGAAATGTTAGCGAATACATTCGAAATCATTATTGTATTAGAAGGCACAATAGAGTCCACTGGTGAAATTTGTCAAGCTAGAACATCTTATTCTTCCAAAGACATACAATGGGGATGTCGCTTTTCTAATCTTATGGACTTCGATCTTGAAACTGGCCAGTGGCGGGCAGATTTTGCTCTTTTCAATAATGTTGACCCTAGTCCGACTCCTAAATGCAGCGGAAAGGAATCTGCAGCTATCTATCGTGGAACTGGAATATTTGGACAAGAGAAAGCAGAGAATTTGTCCAGGAAAGCAGTCAGCCACTTTGATATTCGCCTTGAAAAGACAACTGATGCCTGATAACTGTACCATGTAAAATATAATAAGGTAAATACATATACTTTGGGTGTAATGCTTATACTATTGATATTAACCAGTATAGGTTTTGCCAGTTTTTTTACTAACTGTTTACGATTCGTTTAGCTTGATATTATTTAATATCATATTGTAATTATATGTATATACCTTTCATATCTGTGTTTCATTTTACACTTGCTCTGTATAGTTAATTTAACACTTCTTATTGGGTACAGTCTTCTCTGATCAAACTAAAAAATGCATGCTGTATAGATTGGTCATCTAACATAATAATCTTTATAAATTGTTACATATTCTCTCTATATATACACCTTCATAAACTATCATTTTGATTGTGTTTATTATTGTGTCCGTTTCTGCAATTGTAGAAATGAAGGAATTGTAGAAAACGACACAATATTGAATGCATTTCACAACAACGATGGACTTGATTGTACCAGTTATCGGACTTGTTTACCTCTGATAATTCTTATATTCTGCCTTCTTTAACTTACTATTTGTATGTAGATCTATATAATCACAGTTTTATTGACACCTAACTATTATATAATATATGAAAAAAACTCATTAACATTCGAATATGTCACTTATATATTTTTATTTGAATTATGTATTTTTGTCCACAAAAGTTGTCTCCCTCTATATAGATTTTGCATGGGTTGTCTAACGTATGACCGGTCAAAATGGAATTATTGTTGTTCTTTTTTTTTTCTTATTGCGCAGACGTTAGATTTCTATATATAAAAAGTTCAAAACATAACATCAGTCTGTTCATAAATTGTCGTAAACGTATGTCCAAATAAAAAGATCAACAAAAAAGAGGATATCCTTCAAAGGCTTTCAGAATACCTGTCTAAATAGGTTAAACATTAAATATTATCTTACAAGAATAAACTTTCAAAGTTTCTTTATGTTTTAATAATTGCACTATTCTTTTACATGTTTATTTTGTAAACGAAAAAATAACTCTTACATTTACTTTTGATCAAAACGGTTGAATTTGCTATAATTTTATGTTTCAATAAATAAATATTGCTCACTAATCTCAGTAACATTCATATTATTGTGTTTTTTTTAAAGCCAATTTAATTTGCACCATATATTTCTATATACTTATTAACTTATACATTTGTTTATTTCAGAATTCTGTCTACAAAGAAGATGCTGTACAAAAGTAACTTTCTGATGGGAGGATAACTGTCTTGTTAAATGTTGATATTTATTGACTTAAAAGAGTCTCGTGTCTACTGCATAATATTCCAAGTCCCTGTATAAATGCTGTATATATCCAGCTTCTACTATTCCAAGTCCCTGTATAAATGCTGTAAATATCCAGCTTTTACAAGTATATCCGTCTACAAATAAAACTTATATGTGACGTATTTGACTTCGTGAATTCATTCTATTCTAAAACTGTATACAGATATCTTGCATACTAGTAATACATTTCGAAAAGTGTTATTTTATCATATTCTAGAATTAATATGATAGTTTTTATATATGTGTAACGAGCGGAATTAAACTAGCCATAAATTCACACCCAGGCTGATAACCCATATCAGCCATATGTGACGTCACGTGATCGAGCTGATATGGGGATATCAGCCTGGTGCGTTCGTACATCTAAAGATTATGATAAAAAGATTAAAACATTTTCTTTTCCATATCGGCCCTGGTATCATCCCCCACCCAGATCAGACCTAGGGGTTTGATACCCGGACCGATATGGAAAAAGACATGTATTAATCTGTATATAATCTATACATGTATAAGAAGGAACTGCAACCTTCCAGAAAACCTGGCCTCACCCACGGTTTTTGGTTTGGTTTGTGTTGTTCAATTGTTACTATTCTGTGTAATGTTTAACAACTGTTTTCTGTCTTTTCTTCGTTTAGAATTTTGACCATGGATTTGTCTGTATTTAATGGACTTTTTTTTCGATTGCCCCTCTCTTTTCGGATTGATTTTAAGAAGTCCTTTCCTGTCAGTTTTCAATCAAGATGTCCATTGGATTGATTGACTCATTGTTTGATTTACGTCCAGTGGCAAATATTTCATGTATGTTCAGAATAATTTCTAATTAACAATTAATACAATAGGTAGGTTCTGCGAGGTCGACCAGGATGAAGTCTGGAAATTTGGACTGACACTGGAAATGAGGGTATGTTGGATAAGGAGAGAAATTTTGCCTTGCAACAGGGCACCTACGTATGACCACATTCCAATACCCAAGTCAAGATCAGATGCCTATTGGGGCATTTGTGTGCATTTTGCAGTTTTTTCTTTTCTAATGCTATCGTTTTTATAAGGACCTAGCCTTTTCCAACATAAAAGGAGGAGTCAACAGTCGATGCCTTTAGTTTAAGTTCACCTTTTAGACCACCTGGACCATTAAATTGCAATCACTTGGCGTCCGTAGTCGTCATTCGTCATCCAACGTACGTCATCGTTAACGTTTTCAAAAGCTCGCCACCTTGGCAATTTATTTCAAACTTGGCCAAAACAATTTTTTGATTAGAAATAAGTTGAATTGATGAGTTATAATATTTAAACTAGAGGCTCTCAAGAGCATGTGTCGCTCACCTGATTCTACTTTGTTTTGGAAATCATGTAAAAATAGATTAAAATCATAACAGATACCCTAATAATGATTGAGACCAAATTTGGTTTAATATTGGCCCCGTAATTTAATCAAAAGCAGAAGACTTTTGTAAAATTTACAGAAATTACCAATAAATTCATTGAAATTGTAGAAAATGACTATTTTTGCAGTTTACAGTAGATCTCAATCTATAAAGATACATGTATTAAGGTCTTCATCAGCACCTCATAAGGATCATTTATGCCATGTTTAGTTTCATTCCATTCAGTGCTCCTCTAGAAGAAGCATTTGTATGTATTTCCCATAGGGTCCTATGTTAAACTTACTCCCCCTGCTGGCAGCCATCTTGGATGACAAATCAGCTACAAAGAAACAACACTTGGTCAGCACCTCAAAAGAAACATTCATACCATGTTTGGTTTCAATCCATTAAGCGGTTTTCTAGAAGAAGCCATTTGTATATATTTCCCATAGGGTCCTTTGTTAAACTAAGTCCCTCGTTGGCAGCCATCTTGGTTGAATTTGATTGGCTGCAAAGTAACAACACTTGTCCAGCACCTCATTAGGAACATTCATGCCATGTTTGGTTTCATTCCATTCAGTTGTTCTCTAAAAGAAGACATTTGTATGTATTTCCCATAGGCTGCTATGTTAAACTAAGTCCCCGCTAGCGGCCATCTTGGATTATGGATCGCCTTCAAAGTAATAACACTTGGTAAGCACCTCATAAGGAACATTTATGTTATGTTTCATTTTATTCCATTTAGTGGTTCTCTAAAAGAAGACATTTGTATGTATTTCCCATAGGGTCTAATGTTAAGAGAAGTCGCTCTCTGGCGGCCATCTTGGATGATGGATCGGCTACAAAGTAACAACACTTGGTCAGCATCTCATAAGGAACATTCATGCTATGTTTTATTTCATTCCATTCAGTGGTTCTCTAAAAGAAGACATTTGTATGTATTTCCCATAGGGTCCTATGTTAAACTAAGTCCCTCTCTGGCGGCCATCTTGGATGATGGATCGGCTTCAAAGTAACAACACTTAGTCAACATCTCATAAGTAACATTCATGCCATGTTTGGTTTAATTCCATTCAGTGGTTCTCTAAAAGAAGACATTTGTATGTATTGTCGATAGGGTCCTATGTTAAACGAATCCCAACCCTCCCCCTAACCTGGGACAGTGGTGTTACGGTACAACATAAGAACGAACTATAAAAATCAATTGAAAAAGTCTTAACTCATCAGATGGATACAAATAGAAATACATCTAAAAAAAAAACACAGAGTGGACGTGGCCGGGTACTTGTACATCCCAACAACAAAAAGACACTAAGTGCAGATCTGAGAGTACTCGCAGTTACTGACAGCTAGTTCAAATCCAATAACAACTAATAAAAAAAATCATGCATCTAAGACTAAATTATCAACCATTACACATCCAACATCCAATGGATTTAGTGTAAAGACGTCATAAACAGTCAGAGAAAAACATGACCTTATGCAATGCCAAGATACAGGTACCGACAGATTGTAGATCCATGAATGTGCATATGTATATAACAATAATATTTAGTTTGCTTTTAATTTACTGATAACAAAATCAATATCAATACCAATAAAAACAATATTCAAAGATCTAATTACAGTGTTGAATTGGTAATTTTTTAGTATAAGTTTATTTAAAGGATCGATAAGTTTACCAGGATCGTTTCTAAATTTCCGGGCACGGTAAACAACATCTCCGTAAAAATGAGAATGTGCCATTCCGTTTGAAATAAGTTTTCTACAGGTACAACCAAACTTCAAAACCAAATCTTTATATCTATGGAAGAATTTAGTAAAGGTTTTAAGTAATTTGTGGTAACGAAATCCCTGACTTAATAATTTACCAGTAATACATAGATTACGTTCATCAAAATCGAAAACGTCACAACAGACACGGGCATAGTGAACGAGTTGTGATATATAAACACCGTAAGAGGAACATCACCATCCAAAAAAGGAAAATTAACAATAGGGAACGAAAAATCGTCCCTTTTGTCGTAAATTTTAGTGTGGAGAGTCCCGTGTAAAACTAAAATATCTAAATCTAGGAAAGGACAGTTATTACCGTTTACATTTGGTTTATTTAAAGTAAGTTCCTTTGGGTAAATTTCGGCAGTATATTTAAAAAATTCTTGATTGTTTAACGAAAAAATATCATCAAGATAACGGTAAGTGTTGTTGAATTTATCAATTAAATGCAACTTAGACGGGTCTTTACTGAGTTTTGTCATAAACTGTGATTCATAACAGTACAAATACAAGTCTGCTATTAAAGGGGCGCAATTAGTACCCATAGGAATACCTTCAACCTGTCGATAAACTTTGTTGCCGAAACGTACATAAATATTATCATGGAGAAAATTAACAGCTTCAATCATCTCATCACACCTCCAGTAAGTATATCTAGCATATTTACCTTTCTCATTAGAGAAGAAGGCTTTAAATGAGTTGCAGCAAATATATTTGCATTCAGATTTACCAAACGACCATTTAATTAAATAGGAAAACTTTTCTTTGATAATATTGTGTGGAAGTGTAGTGTAAAGAGTTGAAAAGTTAAAACTGTCAACAGAATCAAAAGGACCATCAAAAGCACGTAATTTATCTAAAACATCCAAAGAATTTTTTACACTCCAAAAATAGTTAATTCCACTATTTTCATATATTTTATTACAAAAGTTAATGATAAGTTCTTTGATAGTAGTTAAAGAACTAGTTAAAAGCACTGAAAGATTAGTTGTAGAACACTTACTAGAGGCCGAGATGAAGCGATATTTTCCTGTGTTTTTTTTTGTAGTTTAGGTAACCAATACATAGTATGCTTCTCCTGTGTGCCTCAACATTCTAAAGGAAACAAGAATCAAAAACACAAATAGGGTTGCGATTTCTCCTAATTACACCCAATAGAGCAGCAAAGGAGTATTTCACTCATTGGTAAATATAATGCGTATAAGCGCATAACAATTAGTTAATTTATCATTGTATCTAAATAGTCCTCTAGTAGTGCCCTTATAGTATAATATACCGATACATGTATCCCTGCTAACTAGTCGATGTCAACCTTTCCAAAAAAAAAGTTTTAAAAATCTAATATCATAAAATCCGAATCTTTTTCAATTATTATTTTTTTTTCAAATATTTAAGATTTAAGCTCTCTCAGAAAAATAGCTGAAAGCCAAGCAATTCTGCAAGATGGCTACCACCGGCATAATTAAGTTTCCTAATATGCATTTAAAGGAAAATGCATAACCGTTTTAATAAATCTCCTTCTCCGACAAACATTCTTATCGTGCTTAATTAGAACAGTGTCAATTATAATCGGTTACTGACTGATGTTAGCATGGTCCTTGCTACTATAAACATAGAAGTTTGGAGTTAGGGAGCTACCATTTGATTTTTATGGGGGGAGGGGGGAGGGGGGGGGGGGGGGGGGGGGCTAGGACGAAATTTGAAAAAAATAGGCAGGACAGGAGTTTTGAGTAAAAAAAAGGCAGGATGAGCAACTTGGTAAAAAAAAATTCAGGATGACAATTTGTGTAAAAAAATTCAGGATAAACTAGTAAAAAAAAAAGGCAGGACCGAATAGAGTAAGAAATAAAAAAGGCAGGACAGAGATTACAACTAAAAAAAAAGCAGGACAAACTTTTTCATCCTAGCCCCCCATAAAAATCAAATGGTAGCTCCCTTAAATGCATATATTTCATTTTGTCAATTATTCTTAAGTTGTAACT